CATTAAGTAGGGTGTGCAGAGCGGGCCCCTCTGAGGAATTCTGATTGGACTAAAAGTTACTGGCTCATGTGACTGGACCCAAAGGAGCAGCCAAGAGCAGGTAAAGTCAGAGGGAGGGCCTGGTAATGTACAACCTTGTTTAAATTTTGCAGTGAGTGAAATGGGAAGTCACAGCAGAGTTCTGACTACAGGAGTGACAGATGACTTAAATTCCCACGGCCTCACTCTGGCTGCTGTGTTGAGAATGTAGGGAGGTGGGTAGATGTGGAAGAGCTAGGAGGTTAAAAGGAAAAACATCTGTAACAAAAATAAATGAATAAAACTTAAGCTGGGAAAATAAATAAATAAATAAATAATTTTTGGTAAACAGCAAAAAAAAAAGTAAGAAGAATTAAGAGGTTATTATAAAAATTCAGGCAAGAGACATGCTTCTTAGAAGGAAACAGTGTTGGATTCCAGGTATATTTTACAAGTAGATTTCCTGGTAGATTAAATGTGAGGGGTCAAGGATGACTCTGAGACCTTTGTCCTGAACAAAGAATGGACTTGTCATCAACTGACACACAGTAGAGCAATTTGGAGGGAAGGATCAATAGCACAGTTTGAGACATGCTAACTTTGAGATATTTAGATGACTATAAATAAAATGGGCTCTATTATAGCCAATTTTATAGACAGTAAATAAAAAAAGAACAATTTAATTATTCAAAATTTTCCAATTACGCGTAGTGATTATTGAGAATGAAAGAGACACCCTGGCCAGTTTGGCTCAGTGGTTAGAGCGTTGGCCTGCGGTCCAGAGAGACCCGGGTTCGGTTCCTGCTAAGGGCATGTACCTCGGTTGCAGTTTGTCCCCTGCCCTAGTTGGGTCATGCAGGAGGCAGCCCCTTGATGTGTCCCTTTCACGTGGATGTTTCTCTCTCTCCCTCCCACTCTATCTGAACAAAAGATGGAAAAATGTCCTCGGGTGAGGATAAAAAAAATAAAAAAGAGAAGGAGACACTAATAGCAATTTAAATTTGGGGATGCAAGCTACATTTCGATTACTTTTATGTTACAATGAAAAACAATGGCTGGCTATATATTGATGCATTATAAATCTATAATATTATACCTTAAGAATTGAACATTCCTCATAGAATGCTTTACTATAAAGGCAAATAAAATAGGTTTGAGTACTTTAAATACAAATTATTCAAACAATAAAGTGGCTTTCCAAGTTCCCGAAACTTCTAAACATTTGGGTTTAATGATGGAGAAGTGACAATATATGGGTTTTATCAAAATAATTGACTATGGAGAATGTTGTGGATCAAAGCTCTTAAGAGAAAAAGAACTATTAGCTTTAATTGCTAAGAAAGTTCTTTTGTCTGGCATAGCAGCAAATAGGCCAATTTTAAAAGTGGTGAACAAGAGGAGACTGCATTTCAAGTTGCTCCATAATTTATTTGTTTGACTGGTTGAGTTGGTATGAGCTGAATAAACCATTGTTTTCCAAGCCTTAAGGTGTTTTCCAACGCTGAGTGAAAACAAGCTCTAACTACTGTACGAACACATTTTTAAATCTACAGGATCCAACTTAGATTCAAATGGCAAATTTATCTAATCTAAAATTTAGCTCTTTTATCCTTTTAAAAACCATAATTCTTCAAAAAACTTTACTTATTGGTAATGAATAAATATAAACCCGATGTTGTTCCAGATGCATTAGTATGAAAACACTACTAAAGTTATTAAATATTGTCTCTACTTTAAAAAAAATCGCCATAATAAATTATAACTATGATTTTATTAGGGTTCCACATGAGAAACAAACAAACATACAAGATTTAATTATGAGCTGCTTTTAGGATCTAGAGCAGAGTTTCATACTGACCTTTCAGGCTGCATAGTTCTTTGGGGCGGGGCAGGGGGACGCAAAAAGTCTCCAGACTATACCAGTGAGGGGCCTGCCTCCAGCTGAGAACCACTGATCTAGACAGAGTCTTCAATTACATAAAATCACATACTAGATCTGGACGCCTCCGCAGCCTCAACATCCATTCTTGTAAGGGATTAGCAGTACACTGAAAACGGAGGGGTCAGCGTGATAATCCCCTCATCTGCACAGGAAGTGCCATTAGATTCCCTTTCCTTCTCAGCCTTGGTCACCCAGATGTTCTTAAGGGTTTGGAGAAATGAAAAGTAGCTTCCTTTTACTAGAGGGCGGGGAACACCGATTACTGGTCAATAAATCAGTAAGTAGTGCCCAATCTATTTGGCAGCCGATCTCACAATACCAAGATGTAACCTCACTTCAGGGATGTTGGTCTCTGGATGGCACATGTTCGAAGTTGCAAACAGAGAGACAAAGTGGAGGAAACGAGGTGATGAAGCAGGGATTCGTTCAGCAAGTGTTCCTGAAGACCTGCTGCGCTATGTGGGAGGCACGGGGGGTGCAGCAGTGCAAAGGCAGGGAAGAAAGTCAACATGCACGAGAAAAACACATAGTAGGTGAGGTTGTAATGAATGAGAAATATGAAATGTCAGAGTTGAAGGTGGGGTTAACATTTTAACTAGGAGGGCCAGGGAAGGGCCAAAAATGAGTGAGAAATGTGAAATTTATTTACTGATTTTAGAGAGGGAGATGAAGGGGAAGAAATGAGGAAAGGAGAGAAGGACAGAAGGAAAAAGGAAGGGGGGGAGAGAGAGAGAGAGGAGAGTGAGAAACATCGATTTCTTGTTCCACATATTTACACATTTATTGGTTGGTTCTTGTATGTGCCCTGACCGGAGATCAAATCCGCACCCTTGGCACATTGGGACGATGCTCCAACCAACTTACCTAACTGGCCAGGTCAAGAATATTTTTAAAAAGAAGTATAAAGTACTTTATTTAATTTACTGAGTACAGTCATGAACTATATAATAATACTTTCGTCAATGAGGGATCAAATATACAACTGTGGTCCCTTTTAAAATTACAATGGAGTTGAAAAATTCCTATGGCCTAGTGACTGCAGGCATCGAGGGGATGCTAGTATTTGGAGTTATGTAACATTGTATATATATGAACCCACATTCAAAATAGGAAGTAAATATGCAATACATTGACTTTTATATAACTACAAAAAGCAAAAGCAAGGTTAAATGTTGTCTCCCTAAAGAATATAATTATTTTGATAGCTCAGGAGGGACCACTACTATTAATTTATCTCAGTGAACTATGAACAACAATGAAGTAATGCAATGACGCTTCCAAAAAAAAAATAGGCTTTATAAATAATGAAATTCTTGCTTTTGTTCTGGGCAATTACATAAAATTAAATTATGCTCTTTTTTTTTTTTTGTATTCTTACCCTGTTTGATCTTTGTCAGCTCAGGTTTAATAAGCAAGATGGAATTTTGTACTTTGCAAATAAATGGTTTAATGAAATCATGATAAAAATGTTTATGTTCATATTCACATCAACGTTATAGGGATGAGTATGACCAAATGAAAATGTTATAAACTCATGAATGGGCTAATCATTTGAATCACCAATTTTTTTCACCATGCTTTTTAGCCATACCTCATACCACCACCAATATAGCTAGTAGTGAGAACAAAAGAAAAATATCCCATAATGTGAAAGAATCCATTTTAAATCTTTTAAGGTTCTCTTTCAGAAATCCTTAAAACATAAGAATTTTAAAGAACACCACCAGCTCTTTTATAATGCATTTTCTATAACATTTTTTTTCTTTGCAGGAACAGGAAAGAGACCAAAGTAAATACAAAATAAACCAAATAGAAATGGATTTTTTCCCCAAAGCATAGTAATTCTACAAATGCCCAGTTTGTTTTATGGCTGAATGTTGAGCATTCAGTGTAAACAAAAATCTGTTAGGTAGAAATTACACACTAAACCCTAATGGAGCTTAGCTTTATATTACATTTCAAAGGGCCTTACTATAAATTATAATTCTGTCCTTCTTAAAGTTAATACCCAATTCACTAGAAATTTATTTGTAAAAGGAAATGGTCACAAATCCACCATTATAATTGTTTTACCACTTCTTGGCTACTTCATCTTGAACCATTTATTTTTTAAATATGTTTTTAATGATTTTTTTTTTTTTAGAGAGAGATAGAAACATCGATGTGAGAGAGAAACACACCTGCAGGATTGAGGATTGAGCCTGCAACCCGGGCATGTGTCCTGACTAGGAATTGAACCAGGACCTCTCAGTCCATGGAACAACATTCAATCCACTGAGACACACTAGCTGGGCATTGAACCATTTATTTTTAATTTCTATAGATGACTTTATTAAGAAGGCTTTTCAAGCCCAATTTCATTAATATTGTAAAAGCGCCTTCTTACTAAGTACTTTAAGCACTGTTTTGGCGTGGTATTTTTAACGGATCCTCTGACATCTAGCAAGTCATAAGAACTGCTGATCATACTTCTAAACACACACCCTTGCCAGGCTGGTGTGGCTCAGTGGTTGAGTGTCAACCCATGCACCAAGAGGTCGCCAGTTTGGTTCCCATGCCCAGGCTGTGGGCCCAATTCCCAGTGGGGAGCATGCAGGAGCAAGCCAGTAGATGTTCTCTCTCACTGATGTTTCTATCTCTCTCCCCCTCTCCCTCTCTCTCCAAAATTCATAAAGAAAAAACAAAACAAAAAAACCACACATTCCTTTGTCACACATTTATTACTCAAACAGTAAGTACAGCCCTGTGAGAAGTCAGGCATAATTCATGAACAGACCACAATCCTCTCAAGGGACATGCAAACAATTTCTGAAACATGAAAAGAATTATAACAGAAATGTATAAGGTGTTTTAGGAGCAGTGTATATACCCACCTCTGTCTAGGAAGGTTCACAGACTGACTATTCTCCTGAAAAAAATAAATGCACTCATTCCTTCCATTTACAGCTTAAAACTCTTCCTTAGTGGTCATCATTCTTCTGGGCAGCCTTCACTGATGAACAAAGTACCCAAAGTGTTCAAAGAACCCCAATCAGCATACCTTGTGGCTTTGGACTTGCAGTTGAGTGTTTTGCTGGCGTTTTTCCATTTATTCCCTGAGCCTCTTTGTCAGATACATTCTGATCCACCAGGGTGGTTGTGCTGCTTTTCAAAAAGGACGGACCGATAGTGATCTTTGGACAGGTACTGCCGCCTGAGGGAGTTGAGAAAGGAAGGCCGGGTAAATGCAGAGGCAGAGCCACAGCTATGTCTCATGACTTAATTTCTTCTGACCCCATAAAACAAAAACAATCACAGTTACAAGACTAAGCATAGAGATATTTTTCCCACGTGTCCTGACCTTGACAAAAGAGTTTTCCTGGTAAAGACATCATTCCATGTGCTTGAGAAACCTTATAATGCATACTGACAGAGACATCTGTGCACGCACACACGGGCACGCACACATGGGCACACACGGGCACACACACACGGGCATGCACACATGGGCACACACGGGCGCTCTCTCTGTCTCAACCCCTTTCCTTGCAGAGCCAGGAACAGGGCATAATGCACCTGCTATGATGCAGATGAAGCAGGCTAGGGAGAGGACTGGAGGGCTCTGTTAAAAGCGTTTCCTTCCAGAGTCCAGTCAGGGTGCAACTGAAAAGAACAAAGCAGGTAAGCACCAGCCTGGCACCTGACTGAAGACTCAATGAGAATTATGAGAACGGCCCAATTAGAAATGAATAATGACACACACACACTCACTAGCTTACTGACTCCAAATTCACATATATAAGCTAATGCCCCCTCCATAAGAACGGTGAACCTGTATGGATAACACTCTTCTATTTGCAACTCAAAACCTCAAAATATGCTTTAAAACACCAAAATACACCGTGATAAACTATGGATAATTTTTTGTTTGAGTTCTGATATAGAAGTTAAATGTTGAACTTCAGGGGTTTTTTAACATATGCCAATGTTTTCTCTAAATACTCATATTAAAGTTTCCTCTCTTCTACTTGACACAGTGATATTAATAACAGATTGGACTTGAGAGAAAATAAAATTTCTACCAGGGCACTCACTATTACAAAATAAAAGTATGACATTTAAGAAAAATTGATTTGATTAAGAAACAAAGAGTTTCATTTTTACAGAATCTAAATATCTATAAAAACAGAACTATTAGAGATAAAAAATATTATTCTAAACAAGGAAAGCTAATAAAACCCAACACGTTTTTATTGAGTAAAAAAAAAAAAATCCCTTTTATTTCAACAGATTGTCCAATAATATTGATTAAAAACCACACTACTGCTTTCTTGTCTGTGCTCCCTTTAAAATACATCCCGGTAGCCCTGGCCAGTTTGGCTCAGTCGTAGAATGTCGGCCTGTGGACCAAAGAGTCGTGGATTCGATTTGGTTACAGGCATATACTTTGGTTGTGGTTTGTCCCTGGCCCTGATTGGGGTCAGGTGGGAGGCAGCCAGTTGATGTGTCCCTTTCGTATCGATATTTCTCTCTCCCTTTTCTCTCCCTCCCATTCTGTCTGAAGATAAATAGAAAAATATCCTCAGGTGAGTATTAAAAATAAATAAATAAAATAAAATGTATCCTGGTAAAACCGATTTTAGATGTTAAGTGTTCTGAGTATTGGCCCTGGCCAGTTTGGCTCAGCAGTTGGAGCGTCAGTCTGCAGACTGAGAGGTTATGGGTTCGATTCCCAGTCAAGGGCACATACGGTGTTGCAGGTTTGATTCTGGCCCCGGTTGGATGTCGTGGGGGAGGCAACCAAACTGTATGACTTTCTCACATCGATGTTTCTCTCTGTCTCTCCCTTCCACTCGGTCTAGAAAGCAATGGAAAAATATCCTCAGGTGAGGATTAAGAAAAAGAGTTCCAAGTATTATCTGAGAAGTTCTGAGAGACCAGTGGTAAAACAAATGTAATGAGGTCTCATCAGACAGCTTTCTGCTAAAGTGGGCAGCCAGCTGGATTAAGCAGTATTGAGCCAACTATAACAAAGGCCTTGAATTTAAGATTTAGGGAAAATTACTTCACAACATATTACTAAAATTGTAAACAGAAGAAATGAAAGCTCAAATCTTGAAATGTGTGATCTTATCTACCTTCTTAGAAAAACTGTGAAGTAGGTAAAACATATCCCTAAAATCTGCAGCATATTATCCAACTCATCAGGTAGTCTTTTAGGGCCATGAGGACATTTGTTCCACAGCAATCCCAAGAATGTGTTGGTAATCTTACAGGCCACCTGCTGGGGCCTTGGAGCAGAAACAGGGAAAAACCACAGCCCAACTACAAAATCAAAGGCAGAAACTAATGTGACTGTAAAAAAAAAAGAGACACTGCAAAAGTAAGAATGCAGATTTCCAGCACTATTTACAATAGCTAAGATCTGAAAACAACCCAAGTGTCCATCAGTAGACAAATGGATAAAAAAGCTGTGCTACATATACACAATGGAGTATTATGCAGCTGTAAGAAAGAGAGATCTCTTATCCTTTGAGATGACATGGAGGGACCTGGAGAGTATTATCCTAAGCAAAACAAGCCAAGCAGAGAAAGACAAATATCATATGATCTCAGTTATTTGTGGAATATAATGAATGAAACAATCTGAAGAACAGGGTAGTCTCAGAGATGTGGAAGTAGGGTACAAACTGACAATCCCCAGAATAGGGGGGAGGGGAAGAGATAAACCACAGAACTTATATGCATGTATGCATGACCAATGGACATGGACAACAAAGTTGGGGACAGGGCGGGGAGGGAGGGGGAGGAGGATGTCCATGGGAGAAAAAAGGGAAACATCTGTAACAAAAATAAATAAGTAAATAAATGCAAAAAAAAAAAAAAAAAGAATGCAGCTTTAGAGACAATTTGTAGCAACAAATCTACAAAAAGTGGGCACCTAATGGGTTAAGTAAGAAAACAAATTAAACTGAACTTAAAAAACAATTACTGTTACTAGTAAAAGACAAAAGTACTTTAAAATTAGTGTATTTAGAAACAAAACATGTCTTAAATAATTTAATTTGAAAACTAGGTACTTAATTTCTGGATAACAAACTGAGGTCATGATGAGTTTTACAGGTGTCATATTTATTACAGGACATCTCACACGAGTGTGCTGAAAAACCTACAGCAAGAGATAAACTATAGATCAATTTTCTTATAAAGCCATTGAAGTCATGATTACAATCTTTTGTTTGTGACAATAAATCCACCGCCAGAAATTTCATTGGGCATTAACTGTTTAAAATCAGTTTCCAAACTACCACAAAGCATTGAAAATATGGTAAAAGGAGGCCCTGGCAGGGTTCAGTTGGTTGGAGCATCATTATCATGATATTCCAAGGTTGTGGGTTTGATCTCCAGTCAGAGCACATACAAGAAACAATCAATGAATGCATAAATAAATGGAACAACAAATCGATCCTCTCCTTCCCTCAAAAAAATCAATCAATAAAAACTAAAAAAAAAAAAGTAAAAGACAGAAAACACTATTATTGTTGTTGTTAATCCTCATCCAATGGTATTTTTCCATTAATTTTTAGATAGAGTGGAAGGGAGGGAGAGAAGGAAAGAGAGAGAGAGGAAGAGAGGGGGAGAGAGAGAGAGAAACATTGATGTGAGAGAGACACATTGATTGGCTGCCTCCTGAATGACCCCAACCAGGTCCAGGGATGGAACCTGCAACCCAGGTATATGTGCCCTTGATGAGAATCAAACCTTCATCCCCTTGGTCTGTGGGCCAATCCTCCAACTGCTAAGCCAAAACGGCCAGGGCCAGAAATACTTTTTAAAAAAATCTTTACACTTTAGTTTAAAGGTCATATTCATTTTCTTCTTCTGAAATAAACTTAAAAGATTATCCATGTACCCATTTGGTCAGATTTTATTTATTCTTTAGCAATTGAAGTATCAAATGATAACAGTTTTTATTCCCAATTTTTAATAACATTATATTCACTATACTTCAGCTTTCTCAAACAAAAACTAAAACCACAAACCCAAACATAAAACTTTGTACTATCCACCTACTAGTTCTGCAGCACAATTCTGATAAAAAGTTTTACTTATAATTGGACAATTTATATGATGTGGGAAGAGCGATATTAAGAGTGATTATACAGTGACCAGTCCTGTAAGTCAAAAGCTGTGCTCTTTGATCCATTGCTCAATCCACTTCAGTGTTTAATAGTTCCTGCAGATGTAGTTTATTGCTGGAAGGCTGATGTACTATTTCTTCCTTGAAGGATGCCAATCCATTTTCATGAAGAATTAGAAAAAGTTCACATTGAATGTTATCTTTTCATTTCTTCTCATTATAACCCCTTGTTTCAAGTCTTTTGTACAATACACTTGTCTGTTTCCAGCAGAAAAGTTATATGAAACCAGAGTTCAGGGAAGAAATCACAACGGTGGCAAACAACAATTCCACCTTCCCTCATTTGGTTTTCTAACCCAACTACTCTATCTTCATCTAAAATGGGACGATCATACACTTCATCACAGCCATCATATAACTGCCCTTCTCAAGCTAAATCACCCACATTAGTAATTCAGTCCTGATTGTGAAGCAAGTTCTTTGCCTAACGTGGTTTTTCTATCCCTGGTGGACCCGTGAGCAGGATGTTTGGAAACAATCCTCAACCTGATGGCTCCAGAAAACACATTCTTCAATGGTTGTGTGTATTTTTTTAAAGCAATGACAAGTACGCAACAGAGACCATATGTGGCTGCAAAGCCAAAACTATTTACTTTCTGGCCCTTTACAGGAAAGTTAGCTTACTACTGTTCTAGGTCAAACATGTAAGATTAAGGAAGTTTACCAAAAACAGAAACATTTCATTAAATATCTTATCTTTAACATCTTGGATACTAACAATAAAAAGTCAAACTTCTTTTTTCTTGTTTATGACTGACTCAGTCTATTCACATTTGGAGACAGACCATTTTTAGATGCCAGTAGCATAATAGAGAATGAAAACCAAAATTGTAACCAGATGGCCCACCCATTCAAGAAAATTTATATTATCTATAGAGGCTTTTGGTTCCAATTTACTAAGAAGAACCAAAAGGAATGATTAAATTGTTATCCTGGGCACAGATATAACTAGTCACAGTATATTAGCATGAGGGGGGGTCCTATTTAAATACTGTTTTCTCTTAATGATTGAT